TGTACATTTTCTAGGTCAGCAATTTCACCTGCCTTGAAAGGTGCTGTTAGTGTGCAGCAATATTCCAGCCTAGATAGAACAAGTGACCTGAAGAGTGTCATCATGGGCTTGGCATCCCTAGTTGGATGACAGCCAATAAACTTACGCTTAACACTGACAAAACCTACTATATTATGTTTGGTAGCAGAGCAGGAGATGCACAAATTAACATTAAGATCGACAACACTCTAATTACCAGACATAATGAGGGCAAATTCCTAGGCCTATACCTTGACAACAACCTGAATTTCAGCACCCATATCCAACACATAACCAAAAAAGTATCCAAAACGGTTGGGATCCTCTCCAAGATACGATACTACGTGCCGCAAAATGCCCTTCTCACACTATACCACTCACTTATTTATCCATACCTCACCTATGCTATTTGTGCTTGGGGATCAACTGCAGCAACACACCTAAAGCCAATAATAACCCAGCAAAAAGCTGCAGTAAGAATAATCACTAAATCCCATCCCTGGCAACACCCCCCCCCCCCACTCTTCATAGATCTAAACTTACTCCCTGTTCAGTACATCCACACTTACTACTGTGCAATCTACATCTACAGGACCTTAAACTCCAATATCAACCTTGACCTAAAACGCTTTCTTGATAGTTGTGACAGAACCCACAGGCATAACACCAGACACAAACATCTCTACGACATTCCCCGTGTCCGACTAAACCTTTACAAAAATTCAATGTATGTCAAAGGCCCTAAAATCTGGAACACCCTACCTGAGAACTCTAGAACTGCAGACACATTCAAAGAAGAATGTCATCGGACTGGTGGTATTGTTGGTACTGGGGGGGGGATTTTTTTTCCGGCATTAGTATCTGTATCTGTTGGTTTGGAGTGGAGGCCATCGACTGTGGTTCCACTCCAGGAATGACTGGATTTGGTGTACGATTTCTGCCATTTCCTTCCAGTTTTTTTTCCTTCCTGGCACTAAAAAACCTCTACCTCTTGAGTGGCTGTGGCTACCCAGGTTTTCCCATGGCCTGGATGTTTTGTATCTTTTTGTCCCCTTTAGATGGTGTGCCTGGCAATTTAAGTTATAGCACAGTCTTTCCTGTACTGAAGAGGGACACATTTCAGGGTGAAAAAGCTTACAGGAAGGGAGTTTGCATTTTCGTGTTGTCATATGGGCACGGCATTTTCTAGGGTGGTCATAGGTGCACGTCCCATCTGTTTTTCCAGATTTCCCATGCCTGCAGATACCAAGTGCATAGTATGTGCACAGGCTTTGTTTCCGTTTGCCTTGGGTTTCTGTGACTGTATTCCCTGTTGGTGCATGTTTGCCTTGGGTTTCTGTGACTGTTCACTGTTGGTGCATATTTTCCTGTCTTATTCCTATCCTCCCTAGCACCAACAAAGGAGCTCCCACCAGTTGTTTTTGGTAATATATCCTCACTATTGCTAGTGGAGTCCTCTTGTTTGCTATTTCCTGTGGTATTTCTAGTTTGCAATATTGGTTTTATCTTATCTTTGACTACACTTGATTCCCCACTACGGCTCCTGCCTCCCATGAGGTCATTTATATGCATTCCATCCTGCGTCTATTGGTAATCCCCATTATGTATGATGGGAGGCAATTGAACAGTCGTGGGGCCCCTGACACTTATTGTGTTGTCTCGTAACGTAATCGTGGCGCCTCTGCTTTCCCATTGCGGGGGGGGGGGGAGGGATGTTACACCGCCTGCTGAGTCTTGCTTTCGTATTTTCTTGAGCAAATTTGGTACTAATCCTTCGAGGATAGATTAGATTACTACTAACAAAATTTCCATTTAAACATATGTAAAAACTAAAGTAACAATGAAGACTTTAAAACCTGTGAGACTTGCAAATTTAGGGTAATAAAGTAGGTAGCAATGATAGATGATCCAATACCAAGTATGTAGTAGCATGAGATGATCCAATACCAAGTATGTAGTAGCATGAGAGACCAATACAAGTATGTAGAGCATGAAAATGATCCAATACCAAGTATGTAGTAGCATGAGATGATCCAATACCAAGTATGTAGTAGCATGAGATGATCCAATACCAAGTATGTAGTAGCATGAGATGATCCAATACCAAGTATGTAGTAGCATGTGCTAGATGATCTGAAGCAGAAATTAACCCTACTTATATATATCCCAACAGCGTAATAAAGCCTAAAATGTATGTTGTATGTTTCAATAATGCATAAATGCCTGAATTAGACACTATGTCTTAAAAGCGTATTATTATTATTATAATCATGGGGGGGGCGCTAAACCCATAGGATTATACAGTGCATGGGGGGGGGATGAAAGACATTGAGAATCAATTCAGGGAACTGGAGCACAGATACTTAAAAGCGTAAAAATTTAATTATACGCTATATCCTAAAAGTGGACTCACATCTGAATTATACACATATGTTATAATAAGTGATCTCTACCACAATGCTGACTGCCTTATCATTCTGGCGCAATAAAATTTAATAGTTTACGACTGCTTCTCGGCCGAGTTTGTCCATTATTTATTAATTGAATTGTAAAATATTAAGTTGATTTTGTAGTTGACAGACTATTTTGTTGCGCAAATGGAAATAAATGTAAGGAAACCTAACGAAGCCCAGCTATCCTAAACTAAAATAATAATAATTTATTATAATTATTTTATTAATATTATTATTATTATTATTATTATTATTATTATTATTATTATTATTATTATTATTATTATCTCGTTCAGTATTCTTCCTATTATTATTATTATTATTATTGCTGCTGCTTAGGTTACCACTTCTCGACGGTACTCGGGGTTTAGTTAACATTTTACAGTGCTTTGAACCTATGTACACCACAGGATAATGAAGTATTTCATGTGTGAATAGAGCATAAATTTTGGTGGCACAGTAGTACGTGTGAACCAGTCAACGCTAAGTACAGAGTGGTGTCACGGGACAGCCCAGTGTAAACGATGCCTCGCTTCACCTTAGGTTAGGTAAGGTTTGTTAGGAAACAGGACAAGTGTTTCCTGAGGCGGGTCTTAGTCATATGATGACCCGCAGCTGGAGCTTTTGGTCATCTGACCGAAGCCTTCCGCTGGCTTACCAGTCTACCCCTTTTAAAATTATGGTTATGATTATATTCATTAGATTATTAACTTACCCTTACCTCCGCGATCGGTAAGCCAGCGAAAGGCCTCAGTCAGATGACCAAAAGCTCCAGCTGCGGGTCATCATATGACTAAGACCCACGTCAGGAACATTTGTTAACTAATGCCTGAGTTCGTCGAGCAGCAATAATAATAATAATAAATAATAAAAATAGGAACAACGATCGATAATAATAATAATAATAATAATAATAATAATAATAATAATAATAATAAAATATAATAAATATAATAAATTATTCTTATTAATATATGGAACGCTGCGTGCAATTAGGTGTAGTAAACCCGGTACCTGACTTAAGCAAGTAGGTCAGTGGAGCAAGAATCTCTCGATCACTCCTTTATTACTAAGGCAGTTAATCGTATAAAATTATAAAGAATAAAAGTTTGTGTGTGTACATATGCTGGCTGTTCACAACGAGGCTATCTGCAGAGGATTGTCTATTATCCCTGTGAAAACTGTCCACCATTATCTGGATTATTTATAAACGGTTGAGTCAAGGATAGTAAGGAAAAAAGGTTGTCCCCAGCCCTTCAACCACCACCGGCATGGATCAGTCACTGAACCACAAGTACTGTATTCGAAAAAAGGACATGGATATTTGATAGAAAATAGAAATGGATGGATAGCATGCGGTACAAGTCCCTCTGCTTAGTTTCAGTATGATAATATGCTTGTTTTCAGGAATGGTCGTATGGTCTTCGATTGAAAGGTCATTAGATTATGAAAATAGAAAAAATATATTAACATCTTGACTGAAGAATAAAAAACAAAGATTATTTTTGAAGTGGTTTTTGTGCCATCCGGATAATACGAAAACAAACTTATTTAAGTATGTAACTTCATTGCAGAGAAATTTAAGTCTCTTCACATTAACTTTCTCCTCTTGATTAACGAACGCACTTTTTTATTTATGCTGTTATAGCAATAAAAAAAAGCGACTAGAAAGGTAGGTGCAACGTAGAACGCTTATAAATCGTCTTCGTTAATAGGCTAATGTTCACGGGGAAGACACATGAATAAGAGGTAGAAGACTGTAAATCAATAATGCCTTCCACACGGTGGCACGAAGAATAATTACCCTGAAATGACTCTCAGTTCCCCATTGTTGACCATGTTGATGGCCTTGGCGGCCATGTTTGCTTTACTCCTGAGGGGATCATGACTGTAACCTTCCGCTCATCCTGCCTCGCATTCAGTTTTTGAATATTTGAAATATTCAGATGCTATAATACCCCTTTAAATATGAACAGATTGTGAGATGTTGGTATCGACAGCACCATGCTGGAGAGCGAGTGGTTTGAAGACAAGCATTACTTAATGTGTTACATCCAATTCTTTCTCAAGACATGACTATTCTTAACAGGTAAACGACCACATCCATCTCTCCCACAAGACCTTAAGCTACTCCAGGTATCACATGATATTCATGGGAGAGACTTAGCCCTCGTGTGTTTTGTGAGGCGGTTATCCCTTTTGTTGAGAGTGGATTGCGCGCGCAGTTTATGCTCGCCATCTTAGGAAGTAATATTTTGTTAATGCTATATTGGTTTAATGTTTTATACTAATTCATGATTACACTGCTTCCATCATCGAATATATGTTCTACGTCGTTGGTTATAGACCAGTTCGTGAAGACTAGACTTAAAAGATGCGTTTATTTTCTACCGAAATCCCAGGGGATTTATTTTTGCTGTCATTATTACTATAACTAGTGTTAGTCATTACATCTTAAATATCACTCTTGAAATACAATACCGTCTTCATTTCTTTTTTCATTTTCATACTTGTTTCTTTCTTCAACAGGAGCTGTGCCCAACAACAGGAAATCTATGTGTGCCCACGTCGTGTCGAGGAGTGACCCTAATGGATTTGGAAAATGAGCGGTGCAAGGAGGGGCAGGTGTACTGTGGTCATCCCACCAATGCCTGTATTAATCCTTGCCCCTCCGCCAGCAAGCTGGATAACCCAGCCTCTCCCACCCAGCATCAGCTCTGTGAACCCGACCTCATTTTCTGCAATAGGTGAAAGACCAGTTTTTTTAGGCTCTGCATGTCGGCCTTTTAGAAACAACTTGCAGATTTGGCTTATTCTGTAAGGATCATTTTACCAAACAAGCCTAGCATATAGCGTGACCTATCTCGACTTAGCGTGACCAATTTTGACCTAGCGTGACCTATCCACGTCGAGCGTAGTCTGTCTTCAACTAGCGTAAAATAGCGTGATACAGTCAGGGCTTGTTTGGCAACATGACGTCAAAGCATTTATCCTACTACCAGAAAAAATCACCATGCCACCAAACTGCTTTGGATTATTATTACATTAGTAGTTGGGGGTCTGCCCATTCACTTGTTTCTCTTGTAGAGATGAACTTTAGTTAGTTATTTTGTTTCTTCTAGCATTGTAGCCTGCACATGAGTCACTAAAGGCACTTCAACTCTACACTACGTGACTTAATTTCTAAACTTAGGAAATTTAGTAAACTCTCAGTATATATACACCAAGAGATATACACTCTCAGGTGTTTATACGTTGAGAGATACTTGTGGATAAATACCCTTCTATTTTCATACACTGAGAGAAAGGCACCTTATGAATTAAAATTCATGATTAAAATTATGGCTTTAAATTTTTTCATGTTATATTTTCTCGTTCTCTAATATACCTTTCTCGATTATGTACATTAGGACTGGGATGTGTGCGAAAGCGAGCGATTGCGAGAATGACCAAGGGGCTGATGTCAGTTGTAAGATGGGCTACAGCTTCTGTCCAGAACTGGGTGGTTGCGTGATGGACGGCTGCCCAAGTAAACGCACAGGCTCTTCCGTCAAGGCCTGTCCTCCTGGCACTGTGAGTCTTGCTTAAATTACTCTCACTGCTAGTTAGGTACTGTAGATAAACGGCTTTGTATGAAATAACGCTAACTGCGTAGTGTTCAGCAGTGTGTTCCTCGGCTGAAGGACAGTCTAAGAGACCTCTCCGATATTTGTCCCGTGCTTGTAGAACTCTAAGGGATTTTTGTAAATAGCCCAGCAAGTGTGTAAGACAGCAAGACCCGCATAATTATGCAGTGTATTGTCCATCTCTGTGTATACAACACTCACTCCAATCTGTGATGTACAACACTCACCCCAGAAATGTTTCACTCCTCCCAGTGATGTACAACGCCCACCCAAATTGTGAATCACCCATCTCTGTAATATACAACACCCACATCAGCAGTGTTACACCCGACCGTGTGATGCACAACACTCGACAAACCACTGTATCACCCGTCTATATCATACACAACACTCATTCACCCACTATATCGCCCCTATTCGTCTTAAACAACACTCGACCACCCACTGTATCATCTGTGTCATATGTAACACCCAACCACTGTATCCCCCGTTCCTGTCATACACAACACTTGACCAACCACTGTATCATCCGTCCCTGTCATACATAACACCCAACCACTGTATCATCCGTCCCTGTCACACACAACACTCACCCAACCACTGTATCATCCGTCCCTGTCATACATAACGACCAACCACTGTATCACCCGTCCCTGTCATACATAACACTCGACCACCCACTGTATCACCCGTCCCTGTCATACATAACACTCGGCCAACCACTGTATCACCCGTCCCTGTCATGCATAACACTCGACCAACCACTGTATCACCCGTCCCTGTCATGCATAACACTCGACCAACCACTGTATCACCCGTCCCTGTCATGCATAACACTCGACCAACCACTGTATCACCCGTCCCTGTCATGCATAACACTCGACCAACCACTGTATCACCCGTCCCTGTCATGCATAACACTCGACCAACCATTGTATCACCCGTCCCTGTCATACATAACACCACTCGACCAACCACTGTATCACCCGTCCCTGTCATGCATAACACTCGACCAACCACTGTATCACCCGTCCCTGTCATACATAACACTCGACCAACCACTGTATCACCCGTCCCTGTCATGCATAACACTCAACCAACCACTGTATCACCCGTCCCTGTCATGCATAACACTCGACCAACCACTGTATCACCCGTCCCTGTCATACATAACACTCGACCAACCACTGTATCATCCATCTTTGTGATTCACTACAGTGTTAATAAAAAAGCAGTGTTACATTTCGTATTCAGTGTTGTGTTCTAAGGACCGCAAAAGTATTCATATATATATATATATATATATATATATATATATATATATATATATATATATATATATATATATATATATAATATATATATATATATATATTATATATATATATATGTCGTGCCGAATATGTAAAGCTGGTCAATTAGCAAGAACTAATTTAAAATTAAGTTCTTTCGAAAATTTTCTCTTATACGTTTAAAGATATAATTTTTTCATTAATGTTAATGTAAAAATATTTAATTTTGCACCAAAAGAATCTTAGAAAACTTACCTAACCTTATTATAACAAGAATAATTTATTTTACCCTAACCCAACTAAATATATTTTAGATTTGTTTACAATAATTTAATACTAAACAAACTCAGTGAAATATATTTTTTTCGTTAGGTTCAGATTATTTTTGGCGACACTATCGCATACACAAATTTTCACTTGTCTTATATAGCAAGATGAACGTTGCTATTTAAGCCAAGATGGCAAGTTCTGCCTATTCGGCACGACATATATATATATATATATATATATATATATATGTCGTGCCGAATATGTAAAACTGGTCAATTAGCAAGAACTCATTTAAAATTAAGTCCTTTCTAAAAGTTTCTCTTATACGTTTAAAGATATATTTTTTTCATTAATGTTAATGGAAAAAATTTTAATTTTGCTCCAAAAGTAACTTAGAAAACTTACCTAACCTTATTATAACAAGAAAAATTTATTTTAGCCTAACCCAACTAAATATATTTTAGATTTGTTTACAATAATTTAATACCAAACAAACACAGTGAAATATATTTTTTTCGCTAGGTTCAGAACGATTTTGGCGAAATTATTGCATACACAAATTTTCACTTGTCCTATATGGCAAGATGAGCGTTGCTATTTAAGCTAAGATCGCAAGCTCTGCCTATTCGGCACGACATTATATATATATATATATATATATATATATATATATATATATATATATATATATATATATATATATATATATATATATATATTATATATATATATATATATATATATTATATATATATATATATATATATATATTATATATATATATATAATATATATATATATATATATATATATATATATATATATATATATATATATATATATTATATATATATATATATATATGAGGGGTGTTAATGTTGCAGTTTAATAACTGTAGTGTAAAGCACCCTTCTGGCAAGACAGTGATGGAGTGAATGCTGGTGAAAGTTTTTCTTTTTCGGGCCACCCTGCCTTGGTGGGAATCGGCCAGTGTGATAATAAAAATAATATATATATATATATATATATATATATATATATATATATATATATATATATATATATATATATTATATTTAATTTCCTATAGACTTTTTCAGTGCTGTAAGACATATTTTTCTCTGCATTCTTAACGACGGTAATGTATATCACAAACGTAAATTACTACTATATAAATAATAACGCGTGAAAAACACTTAGAATATAACAACAAAATAGTAACAATACATGTATTAGAAAAATCTTATACGTCTTTGTGCATAATGAAAAAAAGGAGTTTTGATGTATGGTACTATTACATGTGTTGTCAGTGAATGTTGCAGTCCGGGTGACGTCCAGTCTGTCCCTAGCATCCTCACCTGTTGCCTTTATAATGTATGCTCAAATTTAATTTATTAAAACTTGTACAAGTACCTGCTCTTTCAATGCTGAAACAGTAATAATTACCAGATCCCAATTATATGTGTCTGTGTATTTTTGGGACTCTCGATGTACTTACTGCTTGCTCGTGTTTTCTTGCTTAAGGTATGTCATATATATATATATATATATATATATATATATATATATATATATATATATATATATATATATATATATATATATATATATATATATAATGTAATCTGCGCGTGTTTATATGTATTTTTTTTTTACATTAATGCATGTTGTGCCCATTTTGGGATTGAAGCACTTTATCTGCAGTAAGCATGGTAGAAAGATTTTGGTCAGCTGTTTTATTCATTAATCCCCCATAAACCACACACACACACACACACACACACACACACACACACACACACACACACACACACACACACACACACACACACACACACACCTATAGAAGTCTCTGACAAATGGTAACAATCACACACATATTGCAAATAGTAAATACAATGGAGGTTCCAAAGATCTTACAAAGTCATTAATATTAATTGATATAAATGAACAAAGTACACTTTCATTCTGCCTCAACATTCTAAAGTCGCAAAAATGCCCGATATAACAACTACCAGTACCCCGCGAAACAGAGGAACCACCGTTCCTTCATAACTACTTTTAACATTCCCCCGTAACTCTGCTACCAATTCCCCAATACCACATTCCCCAGTATGCCCATACCACAACACTCTGCTCGCTCACAAGGTGCTGTGTGCCTCGACTGGGTACTGTCAAGCCTCGTGTGGCTTCTACAATGAGGAGGAGGCCAGTGAAGGCCCCAGTGAAGGAGGAAAGTGCTACCCCGGGCAGGTATGGTGCCCTGCTGCTGGCAGATGTGTGGTGTCAGGTGTATGTGGTGAGGATAGTCATGATAAATATGATGAGGGTGAGGGGACAATCTCGCCAACTACCTGTCCCCCACCGCAGGTAAATACTCCAGCTTCAAAGATATTTAGATTGCATGAGCTTCTTGCATATACTTCTGTATAATTATTTATGCTTATATTTCGCAGATACGCTGTGACCATTAGTGTGCTGAAAACAATATTGCTAAATTGCTTAATATATATATATATATATATATATATATATATATATATATATATATATATATATATATATATATATATATATATATATATATATATATTTATATATATATATATATATCCCAAGCGCTTTTGTGATTTCTCATGAAGTTACATTTCCATTCGAAATTTTTTTTTAGCCAGGTCATATGCCAGGTAAAGTTTAAGAATGAAATGTCAGGTAAAGGAGAATTTTGTCAACACAGCTCATAATCTTTACAAATATAATATTTTATAAATACATGTATATGTAGATTGTACAATCCTGGACTTAGATTGTAATCAGTACCAGTTTTATTAAACTTGGTGCTATGTCGTACAACCATTGGTTTGCTTGTTACGGCTTTCTCGGCTTTTCGATAATCAATGGGGTGGTTGAATCTCTCGTATGAATACACATAGCAATAGACTCTTGCCCAGCTCTGATGATGACACATGAACACTCACACGATAGATTATCTCCTGCTAATGCAGGTTGACGCAGTTATATAGGAGATATTTTAACTGTGGTACAGAAGAAAGTAAATAATTGTATTCCGAACAGGATTAAAAATCTGTAAGATGTATCAGCCATTTTACGTACTCATACGACGAAAAAAAAGAGCAGCAGTCCTACCAGACGGACGTGTTAGATGTGAAGCTTATATAACACACCTAGGAACAATTGTAATCATGAATCTGCGTAAGTCCTTGAGGCACACCTTCCTTGGCAAAAATTAATAGTTCTCATTACAAACATGTGCGTGGTACATCTTTCCCTTCATTACCATACCAGGATGGTGAGGGGATAAATATATTGGGTATTGAGAGTGGCTGGATCCCTCCAAGTACAATAGCGTGTTAGTATGATATAG